ACCCCACAATGGCGATCTTCACACACTGGAGGGGGGAGAGGCAGGGAGGGAGGGGGAGAGGCAGGGGGAGAGGCAGGGAGGGAGGGGGGGAAAGGGAGAGAGTCCAAAAAATGCTCGACACCAAAAAACTCTTCAGTTCCTTTCAATCACAGACGAACCTCAGTGTGTGTGTGTGTGTGTGTGTGTGTGTGTGTGTGTGTGTGTTTACTAGGAGGATAAATGCCCTTCATCACTGATCTCCATAAACGCTGAGAATTTTTCCAAGAATCAAATGTCAAATCGTGTAACTCTTAAGAATTACCAAACTCACTCTATCTCTGTTGGTCGGTACTCTTAGAAAACGGCTAAAGATCTTCACAATAATAAAACGTCATAAATAAGAAAACGTCCAAACATCGTCACAAATAACTCCGACAACACCACTTAATATTGACAAACCTACAAGACAGTTGACACACAGAAACATGGTCCAGGTACTCGGGGAGTTTAACCGACCCCTTGATTCAATATTCATAGAAATCGGCGGGAAAAAAAAACCCTCAATTTTTTGGCGCGCTCGTTGACAGAATTTCACAGAATGTAGTTACAAAAGTTGGCGGCAGGGAGCACAATCAGCTTTGGCATGGGTTCAGGTTTTACTCTCAGTGGCGCTCTCTACACCACAACCTACAAAGTTTCCTTCTGCTACAAGACTAAAAAGTGCGGGGAAATTTCGGGGTGGGCGGGGAAATTTCGGGGTTGGCGGGGAAATTTTGGGGTTGGCGGGGAAATTTCGGGATTGGTGTGGAAATTTTATGGTTGGTGGGAAAATTTTCGAGTGTGAAGGTGAATCACTTAATAATTTGAATTAAATGTAAAATAGATTAATATTTATACTTAATGATCTTACTACAATTAAAATAGAATTAATGACATCCTTACTGTACTGACTGACTCTACTGACTAACGTGTATACTATACTTACTCAGTTAATATAGTGTAGACATTATACTTTCAATATTCGCGACAATAGACCCTCGATATTCGCGACAGTAGACCCTCGATATTCGCGACAGTAGACCCTCGATATTCGCGACAGTAGACCCTCGATATTCGCGACAATAGACCCTCGATATTCGCGACAGTAGACCCTCGATATTCGCGACAATAGACCCTCGATATTCGCGGAGGTTAGGTTAGGTTCTCGGTAAAACTGAACATTAGTTAGTTAATAGAAAATACTTGAGAACAATGACTATGCCTGAACCTGTATAAAGCATTGCTAACTGGTATCATTTATGCCCAGAGTACCAGATTATGCCCCTGTGTATGCTGATCTTTTATACTTGTTTACATTAAGCTCCCTACAAATATCCCTCCCTTTCTCCCTCCATCTACTCCCAACTCCCTCCCTCCCTTACAACTCCTCCCTTAGTAGCAGTTATCTCTCGCATCAGTAACTACTCTCCCTAAAAGCTGTCGTCTCCCTAAATGAAAATACTCAGTCAGCGGGTCTCTTGTTGACAACCATCTGTGACCCCTTGATGAAGTGCGTCTCTCCTTCCCTTCCCTCCCTTCATTCCCCTTCCTTGCCCTACCCTTCCCTTCCCTCCCGTGCATGTATTGGCTACGCCCCTTCCTCAAACCTTTAATAGAAATGTGTGTGTGTGTGTGTGTGTGTGTGTGTGTGTGTGTGTGTGTGTGTGTGTGTGTGTGTGTGTGTGAGGGCCTTATACCAGAGCTTCCAACTTTACCATGAATATATATTGCCCATTGAGTAACACACCTGGATAAGAGTGACTCAACCTATTTACCTGCCTGATGCTATGTCCTATTCCACCCCTCTACTACTACTGCTACTACTACAGGAGTCATCTACCCTCTACCTATTATGTTCCTCTCAATTCCTCTGCTCTAATGCCTCCCAACAACTAATCAATGCCTCTTTTTACATCTTCTGGTGATGATGCCTGATGTTATATGCCATTATAATGCTTCTCTTTATACCACTCATCATGCCACACCTTTAGGACCACTGCACAAGATGGCACCTGGCAATGTCGTACAGGTGTTAATGATAGATTAGTGTATTGTTTACCTGTGTTTCTACCTGCCCGTGACCTAGTTGACCCCAAACACACATTATCCTCCTCCACCTTGACCCCAACATTATCCTCCTCCACCTTGACCCCATAACACACTCGACCCCCCCTCCTCTCCCCACCAGTCACCGCCTCCAGATTTCTCCTCAAAGTCCTGATTGTGTGTCTACAAGCGTGGGTTTTGTATTTGTACTCCCCAGTTAATTGACTGTGTCTATCTCTGTGTGTCTGTTTGTTCTCTCTCTCCTTCTCTCCCTTCCTGTTATCTCCAAGTGTCTCTCTCTCTCTTCATCAAAGCCCTTGTACTTCTTGCTACTATCGTCTCCTCTTTACTTCGCCCTTCATCCACCCTGCCACCCTCCTTTCACTTGTTACCTCTATATAACATGACCTCCCTCCCTCCTTCATATCCCCCCATGATTTCACCACCCTCCCCTTCCCCCAAGCACCCCCTCCTTCTCTCCCTCGCACCTCCCACCCCTCCCTCACCCCCCTTATGATTGGCTGACGTGGCTGACAATGGTGGGTGTTGCCCCCTCCTTCCCCCAGCGGGCACCATGTGTGAGGGGGTGATGGAGCCGCTTAAAGATAGTTCCTACGTCCGCCGTCACCACCTGGCGGCGCTGCTGCAGCCCACCATCACCCGCTTCTCCCTCTCCACCGTCGGGGATCACTGCGCCACCACCGACCTCCTCCTGACGCGGCGCCTCGTGAGTAGTCCGACCTGAGGCTCACTAATACTCGGACCTGGACCTGATTCAATCCTCAACCTGACCTGACCTGGAACATGATTCAATCGTGAACCTAACTTAACCGAATCCGGGTCCTAGCATTAGTTTGGCCTGTCCGACACGAAGCGATACAACACTGCCTGCCCCTCAGCTCTGGCCAGTCAGTCCTATACAACGGTGACCTGACGCTAGACTGAGATTCCTGACCTAGTAGCGGCAGTGCTCTCAACTAGACCACTAGCTAGAAAACGAGTCTGAATATTAGCTAGTTGCCGAGCTTATCATCACTAGCTAGAACACGAGTTTGTAAACAAAAGCTAGTCGCTGAGCTTATGAATAGTAACTAGACAACGAGTTTGAAACGAGTCACTCAGCATGAAGTTGAGAGTATGTAATAATAATGATGGTTGCCCCTTATGTAACGAGGATGGCCGGCCCAAGGGCCACCTAGGCGTGAATTTTTTAGGGTGTAGAAGCTGTCACCAACACAACAACCACACCCTAAGTTAACGAGCTGCATGACCCAGTGTTTAAGGTGTAGAAGCTGTCACCAACACAACAACCACACCCTAAGTTAACGAGCTGCATGACCCAGTGTTTAAGGTGTAGAAGCTGTCACCAACACAACAACCACACCCTGAGTTAACGAGCTGCATGACCCAGTGTTAAGGTGTAGAAGCTGTCACCAACACAACAACCACACCCTAAGTTAACGAGCTGCATGGCCCAGTGTTTAAGGTGTAGAAGCTGTCACCAACACCACAACCACACCCTAAGTTAACGAGCTGCATGACTCAGTGTCAAGAAATAGTCCGAGAAGACCGGACAGCTCGCCAACTACACTGGCTAACCATTACCCCGGAACACTGCCACAAATCGATTAACATCCAGGTCCCCAATTACAGCTGGGTAGACAGAGGCAAATGGCGTAAAGAAACTTGCCCATAGTTTCACCCTGCCCGGGGATCGAACCCGGGTCCACACGCTTGCGAGGCGAGCATGCTGACCATTACACCACAGGTCACCACACACACACCCTTAGAGTCGAGTTTCTGATGCCCCAAGAGGTCTGATTCTAAACTACCAAATCACCATGCAGTACGACAGTTTGGGCAGGGATGAGTAGCATTTCCATGGGGCTGACAACTACTGGAGGCGCGGCAATAACCTAACCTAACCCCCCTTCCCTTCCCCCTGCTGCTGTACCCTCTCCCCCTACGCCCTTACATTGCCCTTTCCTCCTTACAATCCCCCTTCCACCCCCCCTTACCCCTTAGAAGGAAGAGAGGGAGGGGTAGAGTTAGGTTAGACAGTTAAGAGGGGAAATTAGAAGCGAGTGAAGGAAGACCAAGGGCCATTACTACCTGAGGGCTATTACCTGTGTCTACCTGTGCTACTCTCTCTCTCTCTCTCTCTCTCTCCATTACTTTTTATTATCGCCCATTTACATTCTTTCTTCTTTTATTCTCCCTTCTCTCTCATCTTCTCCCTCCTCCCCCCTCATCTCCTCTTCTCTCTCAGTCTCTAAGTCTCGTGTGTGTGTGTGTGTGGGGGGGAGGGGGTTACATCACCACACCCCATTACAGTGGTACACACCTTCCCATGTCCCTATTACATAACAGACAAATTCCCTCCTATTAACCCCTATTAAATAAACCCAAAACAAAAATATCCCCATAATTTTCCTAAATAATATCAAGTAAATATCCCCAATTTCCCACACCAATTATCCCTATTTTCCCTCCACTGAGAAATATATAATATCTCCCTCAAAAATAGGACCATTTTCCACCAATTTCCCACCAAACTAAATTAATTAGCACAATTACCCCAACAAAGTGAACCACCTCTCCCTATAATATATCTACCCGAGGAAATTGTATATTTTTTCCCTGCTTATGTAAAAAAATTCCCTATTACACTTTCCCCCCCCTCCCTTCCACCTGTCCCCCACCCACTCACTTCTCACCCCAGCACCTCCCCCCACCACCCACTCACTTCTCACGCCCCAGCACCTCCCCCACCACCCCACCACCCCACTCCTTCACACCCAGCACCTCCCCACCCCCCCACCCCTCACGCCCCACACCCCAGCACCTCCCCCCACCACCCACTCACTTCTCACCCCAGCACCACCCCCCCACGCCCCCTGCAGGAAGGCCCACTCACAACATGGGTACCTTTGCAGCGCCTCTCATCAACAAAGGAATCATGGACACAGTGAGAGACGTAGGAAGGCTCAGGAGGCATCATCTCCACTCTCTGGTACAGGAACACCTTCTCGACTTCACCACTAGCGGCGTTGGTGAGACCTATATTGCTCTCGACCTGTTGCTGGAACGGTGCAGGGTAAGTGTATGTGTGTGAAAACCCTGGCAGTAGTAATCTTCGCTATAAGTAGTACAGTATATATAGTAAATGAGACGCGAATATTCACACGGTTTAACTTCAAATAAAAAAAAACATAATATAACGAAGAAGAAATAAAAGAAAAAGAAGAAGAATAAGAATACGGAGAAGAAGAAGGAAGCAAGGAATACCATGAACACACAGGTAAACGTGAGTATCTTGTCACCTATAATTAATTAACCTTGACGCGTACGGGTGACTCAGGCCGTACAACACAGGAGGTCCTGGCCAATACCCATCACACAGTCACCTCAAACGTCTGGTAGCGATCACCATAACATAACGTAGACTCCCTATTTAACACCAGAGGTAAATAGATGACCCAGCATCATGTAAAACCTCCCCATAAATAGGTACAAGAATATATCGGGGGGTGGGAAGGGGGGGATGGGGAGTGTAGATTATTGCTAGTTACCCCTGGCTGCCGTAGAGATGGGAAAAGGTATCATACGGCAGGCAGCGTGGTGGATGACTCGCTGCCTCTGTTGATGTTTTGGCAAGAGGCGATAGAAGTCAAATACCTCGTGACTGTTGAGGTGAGGGTGTGAAGGGGGTGAAGGAGGATTATCGGTATTAACTTCAAACAGTTCTTAATTACGTTTCACATACAGACATAAGATTAAAAAAATACACATACAGTATATAATTGTATGTGTGTATGGTTTATATGGAGAGAGAGAGAGAGAGAGAGAGACAAGCGGTGTACCCCAAGGCCCTCAAGTCCATCATATATACACATACCCCTCCCCCCACCTTCCCTACCTGTATCACCACTCCCCCCCCCCCTCCGTCATCATCAAGATTATTCATCCACTTCTGAAAATCTGACATGTGACTGTCTATTTAGTTGCGGCGTGTGTGCGTGTGTGTGTGTGTGTGTGTGTGTGTGTGTGTGTGTGTGTGTGTGTGTGTGTGTGTGTGTGTGTGTGTGTGTGAGAGTGGTTAGGTAGTGGAGTGTCCTCAAATGCCCCCCCTCCAAAAAATCCCAGTGGTTGAGTGGAGCTTGCTCGCCTCTCACCACTGAAAACCCGGGTTCGATCTCCATGGACTCAGGTACAGTAGCCAAAATCAAACAAGCATTAGAACCCTGATGATCTCGGGAGAAAGCTAATTGGCAGGTCTTAATTGAGGTGATTCAACTACCTGGGTCGTTAAGTATTAGAGTATTAGGGATAAGGGGGCGAGTATTGGGGATAAGGGCAGTATTGGGGATAAGGGGGCAGTATTGGGGATAAGGGCGAGTATTGGGGATAGGGGGGCAGTATTGGGGATAAGGGGGCGAGTATATGGGGATAAGGGCGATTATTAGGCAAGAAACAGTATTGGCGAGTATGAGGGATAAGAAAGAGTATGAGGAGTATAAGGGAGTATGAAAGGAACTAGTATGAGGCAACAAGAACAAATATGAGTGAGTATAAGGGGAGGTGGGGGAGTATGGGGGCGAGTGGGGAGTATAAGGAGGAGTAGGGAGTATAAGGGGGGCAGTATGAGGCAGACTAACACACGCCTGGGGGTTCACAATACTCTACATACAGTTAACATAATCTAATAACAGCGGTACAGGTTGGCATAATGGATTAACAGCCAGGCGCTCACTTCAATCCCACAGGGCTCACTTCATTCACCCAGGGGCTCACTTCAATCACCCAGGCGCTCACTTCAATCACCCAGGGGCTCACTTCATTCACCCAGGGGCTCACTTCATTCACCCAGGGGCTCACTTCATTCACCCAGGGGCTCATTTCATTCAACCAAGTACTCAACCAGGCGCTCAAACAGCTACTCAATGCATCCAACACTTGAGGTTTACGGAGGCGCTCAAACCAAACCTAACCTAACCCAACCCACCACACGGAGTTCATATATAAACCCAGATAAGCCCCTTCATGGCGTGCGTGTGTCACGTGATCCTTTCTACGTGTTAACCATCCTCATCAAAGTTAACATGTCACTAGTTAAGGATGAATTAACCTTCCATCAAGTTAACTAACATAAAATTTAACCTAACCTAATGCCATTTTGACGGGGCGTGGTGGCGGAGTGGGGTGATGCGCCCTCCCCCTGTGTTATGAGTCACTGGGTTCGGATCCGGTACACACTCAATCCATACAGCTGTGTGAGTGAGTGTGATGGAGGGAGGGGGGAGAGGAGGGAGGGGTGGGCGTGATGTGGAGGTGGGCGTGGTGGTGTGGACGCGGTAAATATAACACCCACGTGACTGGACAGGTGAGTCAGAGATCAAGGTAAGTGGTGGCGCCCCCGACTCTCTAAATATCAGCAACTCGGGCGGGGGTTGGGGAGGGGGTTTGGGTTGGGGTTTGGGGGGGCGGGGCAGCATCAGGTGTTGAGCGGATCACAGGTAACTCTCCAAAAATATGTAGTTAAGTTGGTCGCGAGTAAAGCGTTGCCGTGAGTCCAGCTGAATCATATTAAACACAGTGGCCGCCATCATGCTTGTCCAGGGATTATTTTTGTCGTGTTGTTGTCATGTGAAGATTAGCGTCCCAGTTTGTCTCACCTGTTGATTAAATGTCTTTATGTTAACCTGACCTGACCTAACCTAACCTAACCTGACCTAACCTAACCTGACCTGACCTCATCTGACCTAACTTACCACAACATAACTTAATCTAACGCTGGCTTGACCTGACCTGACCTAACCCTGACCTGACCTGACCTGACCTAACCCGCTCACCCAGATAGCATTAGGGCATTTTAATCATCAGGTATATTAAGCTTGGGGGGTGGTGGGTATGGGTGGGTGGTGTGATGACGAATGGTGTGGGTGGATTAATCTCTCACACCTCACCTCATCCGTCACACACCCAGACAGCCAACAGAAATATCCGTTTGGGTGGAGCCAGCCACACCAACGAGTGCCTTCGGGGTCCACTGAGTACATCGACCTCTAGAGTGCACCCTGTACTCAATATGGCACCTAACCTTGCAGTTGGGGAAGTGAAGGCGATCGAGTGCAGTGCCTCCTAGTGTACCCAGGTCTTGATGTACAGTGTTGCGTTATCCACACTATGGAACCCCCAGTGTTACTTGTGAACCGAGAGAGAGAGAGAGAGAGAGCATTTTTATCACTCTACATAGACCTTTCCCTTCTATCTCTTACACCTCTCCCACTCCTCCTCTTCCTCCCACTCCTCCTCTTCCTTCCCCTCCTCCTCTTCCTTCCTCCTCCTCCTCTGGGGCGTGTAAAGATAATATATCAAACGCTCAGCTCCACTCCTTTATTGAAACTCTCAGATGGCTCCGGGAAAAAATTACTCCTACAGATACGTTTATGAGAAGGGGGAAGGAGGATGATTGATGTGGGTGTGGGTGTGTGGGTTTAGAGATGACGTCCCACCCTCTCTCTCTCTCTCTCACACCCACACTAGTAAGTCCTCGGCATAAAATGAGACAGCCTCCCCCCCCCCTCACTTAACACACTCGACCAAGAAATTAGTACAGCCTGAATTCATCACAAAGACGGAGCTGAACATTAAGAGATAGCAGTCACCACTATCACCACCATCACCACCATCACCACTATCACCACTATCAACACCATCACCACTATCACCACTATCACCACCATCACCACTATCACCACTATCACCACCATCACCACTATCACCACCATCACATCACTACTATAATAGTTGCCCCTCATGTAACGAGGATGGCCGGCCCAAGGGCCACCTAGGCGTGAATTTAAGGTGTAGAAGCTGTCGTCATCACAACAACAACCACACCCAACTTTAACGAGCTGCATGACTCAGTGTCAAGGAATAGTCCGAGAAGACCGGACAGCTAGCCAACTGCACTGGCTAACCATTACTCCGGAACACGATCCACAAATCGATTAACATCCAGGTCCCCAATTACTGCTGGGTAGACAGAGGCAAATGGCGTGAAGAAACTTGCCCATAGTTTCACCCTGCCCGGGGATCGAACCCGGGTCCACACGCTTGCGAGGCGAGCATGCTGACCATTACACTACGACCATCACCACCACCACTATCACCAGCAGGACGGTAAGGCCCATTGAGGGAAGTTCACCAATCAACCGTGAAGCAGCGGGGAACTCAATGGTGGCACACACACACACACACACCTCATCCAATCAAACTCAAATGAAAACCTGTAACCACCCCCACCCGTCCCCACCACACCCCTACCCTACCCCGAGAAGAGACCCAGTACCACCCCCACCTGCGCCTCCTTCAGGTAGGTCTTGGTAGTTGGCAATGGTTTAGTTTTCGTGGGTAATGGCTGTAGTGGGATCAAGGGTAAAGGTGTTTTTATTATTCTCGTGTGTGTGTGTGTGTGTCAGGCAGCGACGTGATAGGCAGAGCGTAAGGGAGTAAAGCTTATCGTACCGTACCTTCTCGGCAGCACTAACGATCATACATCTAATAACGACAATTGTTCGTACGCCTGGCAGCAGTACGTCTGGCAGAAACACCGGCCGTACATCTCACCGTAGCGCTGATCGTACGTCTGTCAGCGGTACTGTCAATGTTTACCTAAATATACGGCATCATACCTTGCTTACTGACAGCTCTAAGGCAGAGAATGTTTACAGATCTATTATTATTATTATCAGTACTGTTATTATTACGCCATTACTGTTATTATTAAACATTCAAGAACCCAACATTTCCTTTCACGTTAAACCTTCCCTCGTCTGCCTCCGTCTCTCACTTCGTAAAGCTTGACTAATCTTAACTTAAGCTGGAGGAGAAAGCCTTAATCAAGCTGGAGGTGAGAGCCTTCTATACAACCTTGTCTTAAGTAGTTCTATGCCCAACGAAGTCCATTATTTAATTGCTCTCTCTCTCTTTAACACATTCTCTTTCCCTTTCTCTCTCTCTCTCTCTCTCTCTCTCTCTCTCGCACAACACACACACACACAAACACACACACACACACACCAAAACAAACAC